AAATCCATTTCTTCGAGTTTTTAAGATTTTTGGACAGGAAAAAATGTTTCGAGAACCTAAAACCAACGTTTTCTTTCTCAGTTCAATGCACTCTTCCAAATGATGTATGACTTAACTGAAAAAGAATATCATCTTCTGAATTTTCGCCCCCTTTTAACTCAAAGAAATCAAAGTATTCAGCTGATTATGATGAGATAACAGCACAATAACCCCAAAACCTATAAACAACATGAATTACAATATAGCATGAATAATTAAGTAAAAAATAGCAATCGTATGCAGCTCAAAATAAAAATGTACTTAAATGAGAAATGCCTCAGACATTGATGTCATCGCAATCGAGAGTATTCTCGGTGTGAGACTGCTTTGCTGTTAGGCTTTCAAGATGCAGCGGGTATCGATGCGCTTCTGTTTCGCGCACAGAGAATTGGGCCTCAGCCGTTCCGCCGCATTCAGACGATGCTAGATTCGGTCTGGCAACGAACTGATACTAGCGTCAAATATTTACAGAAGCGCATTCTCTAAACGTTCAAGCGTGAGTGTTTTCTGCACATGCGTCAAGTGTTAGCTTCCATCCTCACTCTCATGTTAGAACCATAAGACGTCAGCCTCTTTCACGTTGAATCATAGGGGATAGAAAACTTCGTCTGAGAGGTCATGGCGGGATTTCGCCAGAAAACAAGTATCGCAGCACGACATGGGCGACTTGTATAGGACGATTACAAAATAGCGAATAAATCGTAATCGTGGCATCACAGTCGCGAGTTCAGCGCTTTCATTCTTAGACCACGACAAAACCGCGATGGTAAAATAGTCTCTTATTCCGTGATCATAACCGCGATGGCGTTAAGCGTACTTGACGCGACTTTTATAGCGACTCCCGACGCGCCACAACGCCAGAAAGTTCACCTGGGTATTCTATTTCCAAAAATGAAACGTATGACAGTCTACCTGTGTCTAGAAATAAACAAATTACAAAATATGGTTTGTTTTAACGTTAACGTTAATGGCAATATAACGGCTTCACATTTGCACCAAAATGTGTTTGATTACTCATGAGAAAACTTTGGCCGAAACGCGTGAGTGAAAAGCTTTTCTTGTATTAATTTTTGGCACGTTCTTGTGCAAATACTCGATGGAGAAAAAAGCAAACGCAAATATGTAAGTTTGTCCTTCTTCTTACTATTATCTATTTGCAACAAGAAAAACAGAATAACACACTCAGTACACATTTCATCCAAATAGACCACATTTTGTTAATTAAGCTTATTAACTACATTCTTTAAAGGAAACTTTATTTTTGTTTTTGTTTCAAACATAAGTCATTTACGATTAGTAGCGGTTCCACAAAGTTTATATCTGTAGGTTTACAATATCTACTAAAAAGAGCAAATATTTTATAAGTGTCTCGTACTGAAGAACATTTTCATTTCATTGTTTTTGCTCAGTTCTTTTGCTTATACACGGTTTTTCACTCGATAAAGTTTTATCATTTATTGTTTGCAGATTTATTTTGCTTTATTTGGGTAAACGTGCAGCAATACCTTGCGAGGTGCAAGTGAAAAATTACTATTTTTGAAGTGAGTGAATAGAAGTGACTTTTATACAGACAGACTGGATCTGCTTTTGTAATGTACAGACATACGTTGAGAACATAATCATTGATTAAATAATGCTGTGGGTGGAGTTTTACTTTTAAACCAAGGATCTACCAGAATCAGCTTTCAACATCTTATTCTCAATCGACGCATTTTCCACCCGCTCTTCATGGAGTAAGAGAAAGATTGGAGGAAAGATGTCTACATCCGGTTTCAAAACGTATTAAACTGTGATTTTATTAATATTTTTGAAAGAATGTTGACCTTAGATTTTCTTTAGAAAGGGTTTTGTGAAGAATCATGCTTTGATCAAAGATCGCCGGCAATATCTAAAACTTCATTTTGCTTCGATATGTCCTCTTTTGGATCATTTCGCCTGTATGAATATCAGTCTTAGGGTTCATCTGCTGACGTTTTTACTACTTGCTCAATAAATTTCAGTAAATCACGATCTTTATCTGTTTATACTGAACGATATCGGAGGCTGATCAGATTGTTGAACAATTTCCAATTTTGAAGAGGGCGTTGAGGCCTAAAACATACAATTTCAAAGAAGATTTATTTTCTGCTCTCGATCACTAAGACAGCTTCATCGAATTCTGAGTGTAGTAAACGTCATCATGCGAGTTAAAAAGAAAGGTTTTTTTATGAATTAGGTTAGAATACGTTTGACTTAGCTTTTTACGCATATTTCAACTGTGGATACTACTGTTTGGCAAATCTAAGAAAAGATGAAAAAACTAGTTTCTATCCTTTTTTTATAGGATACTCTGTTCTGTGACATTCAGTATAGAGAGCCTGGACACATTGTTTCACGTTTCTTTTGGTTTATTATGGTTCAAAGCATTATATTGTGTTCCACAGGTCTATTATACCTCGTCAGAAAGCGATATCTTACGTTACATTGCATCAATACCCAGTGGGTACCGGATAAAGTGATAAAAAAATGGAAACTTTCTCTTGAAAATATCTCGAGCATGATTCTAACTAAAGCATTTTCTCTAACTGGATAAACTTTACGTCAAAAACTGACGCTGGAGGCCTATTGACGTACGATGAGATGAATTGAATCAATATACATTAAGTCAAAAACATTTTTTGAAATTTTATGAAAAGTTCCAGAATTTATTTTTCTGATCGAGTAATGGGTCCACTCAAAGGGTATCCTCAGGAGTTATTTGGTATGACCTGGTTGGCATGTTATTTGTTTAGAGCGTCACAATGTCTATCAATTATGGAATAATTTTTCGTCATATTCTTGTCATTTTACCCATCTCAGCGATGTTAACATTTATTTTAACATTGGTTATTTGCAATTCAAAGCTCGGTAAAAACTTCGGAAGACGTTTACCAAATATTAGTGAACTAGGCCTTGGCGCCGCACATCCATTTTTTGCTGCCGGTTTTACAGTGTTAGCACCACAGTTTATTGCAATTCTGATAGGGCGTCATTTATTTTTAATGCACTGTAATATAATAAGCAATGATGGGAGTAAAAGAAGAGTTAAAATTTATTTGATTATTCAATTGGTTGTTGGCGTATTAACGACCCCATTCATGTTACTAATGGGTTGGGCATACGGTGTCGCTGGAAGAATTCCACATTTAGTCGGTGCATCTGGTTTATTTGGATTAATAATTACTTACGCTTGGTTACACAGCCTGTTGAGTTGGTATTTGTACCTGAAAGCTCGTCGTACTTTTGCATCATTCGAACAAGACAAGTCCGATATTCCATACTTGATATCACCCATATTTTATACTATATGCTCGATATTATCGTTAGTGAATGTTGCGATATGGTCGAAAACGGGCAATAGTATAGCTCAGTATATAGCTGCTGGAACTCCGTTTTTATACTTGCTACCGTGGATGTACGGATTTTGTTCAACAAGATACGGCTACCGAGCCTGATCGTGCTGAACAGAGTATCACCAAAAATCTTGATACAAGCAAACAACTTATTCATCAAATATTTTGCTTATTCTTCATTTGTCATAAATCATGGTGATAACGATTATTAGATTGTGTTTTATGTAGAAAACTAAGATTGCTGATTTGACTGTGATAGCACAGAAAAAGTTTCACTCTAGACGAGAGCTCACCTGAAATGCCACTAGGGCCAGCAGTCGATGTGCAGGGCGTTTGATTGGTACTGTGCTAGCAGTGCATGAAGAGCTTTTGAGCCTAAATACAGTTTGTAAGTTAAAATTGTACACACATGCTCTCTTTGGATTATTCCCTGATCAACATCCTCAGTCGATTATGCTCTTAGTAATAAATTATTAGAGACCAAATAGAGGTTCAACCGTCTGCCGTGTTTTTGGTCTTGGGTATTTCCATGGAGTCCGTACCACGATATACACAACATTGTTCGCATAAGCTGGAACCCTTTTCAAATGAATAACCCATACGTGGGATTAGCGTAAATCGAGTTAGAAAAGTTTGA